TTCATTTTGTAAATTACAGATTTTATCACACAGTAACAAATGTTGCTTTAATTAAACTTCTGTTTTATATATATATATATATGTATACATATCTGTATATATACATATATATATATATACATATATATATATATATATATATTCTTTACTTTTTTGTAACAGTAACCAGGCTCGCACACACAGGGTCTGCTGCCAAGTTGCAAACCACTCAGTAAAGGAAATTTAAAAAAAAAAAAAAAAAATGTATTTGTCATGTTGAAAGTGTTAGCCACAACAGGCTGCTTACTTTCTTTTCCTTTTAAATTGTAAATAAATAATGTTCTGTATCAGTGTGCCTGAACCTTGCATATCCTTCATCTCTCTCCCATGAAGCCCCTCAGAAAGGCGAACTGTGATGATGACACTTGGTACAATTTAGATGTCGAATTGGTGGCTCCTGTTAAAGACTCATCAGTGTAAAATGTTCCCGTAGTCACTGTTTGTACTTGTTTATTGTGGAAATAAATACTTTTGGAAGGCATGGGGTTGCCAGAACCACAAAAGCTGTGTTGTATATATAATGTAAAAATTAAGATGGGGAAATAATGAGCATCTGTGAATAATGAGGAGTCGTTTTTTGATAATCTTGAATGGCAGATAACCCAATAGCCTGCATACCAGAGACATCTGTGACTGCTCTATTACTTGAATAGCCCTACAGTCTTTTTTTTTTTTCTTTACTTTTCTTTAATGTTTACAATATCCAGTTTTAGAGGAGAAGGACTTTAACGCCATTGCCTGGTTACTTGTTTTATGCTGTAATCTAGTTTATTTTATGTAAAATGTATATTGAATGCTTTCCTTTTTTATACCTGCCTTAAATAATTTGGCAATCAGAATTAAAAAGGTTTTGTTTGTTTGTTTTTTTTTAAAATAATGGTTTCCTGTGTGTCTGATGTTACTTCTCCTTGGCTGGGAGTGAGTCTAACTTTTAGAGAAGCCCTTCATACTATGAAGGCATAAGGCAACAACACACAGACACCAACTCTTCATACATGATACACAGGTATAACAACCAAACACTGTGTTCGGTTCTGTGAATATGTGCATAATTACAGGGCATGTAGTCTAGACATGGACACAAAGCACCCCAAATTGGTAGACAGTGGTGGAATAGTGTGCTAAGCATATAAATCTTTCTTTGTTTTTTTGCTTTTGTGTTCTCTCTCTCTCTCTCTCTCTCTCTCTCTCTCTCTCTCTCCTCTCTCTCTCTCTCTCTCTCTGTGTGTGTGTGTGTGTGTGTGTGACAGGGTTTCTCTGTGTAGCCCTGGCTGCCTGGCTGTCCTGGAACTCACTCTGTAGACCAAGCTGACCTCTATGTCACAGAGATCCAGCTGATCTGCCTCTGCCTCCCCAGTACTGGGATTAAAAGCATGTCCTGTCTCTGACTCCTCCCAAATGCTCATATTAAAGGCATGTACCACACCATGGTCAGCCTAAACATGTAAGTCTTGTGACTTGTGAACAGTAGATAGAACATATAAAAGGTCAACTAGTTGTCACTAGAGTGACATACAAGGGTATTTTTTACCTCTCCTCCTTACCTCTTCTTTCCATCCATTGAGCCACCTACACCATCCTAAGCTGGAGTTGATTACAATGAACAAACCAGACAGAAATTCCCATACTCATAGAGTTTGCATTTTTTAGTAGACAGTGCGGACATACATCAAACATACAACAGTAGATTGTCTGATAAATGCTATGGAAAAAAGTGAAGGATGCTGAGTATGTGTGAGAGTTTGTACACCTGATTAGAGTAGCTGATCTGGGAAGATGTCACTAAATTGATGATGGGGAGGTTCATAGAAACTTGCTGGGGAGAAGCACTTCAGGGAGATGAAAAAGCCAGTGCAGAAGTCTGCCATTGCAAATTTACTTTGTCTTTGGACTGGTTGAATTTTTTTTTTTTTCTGGTGCTGGCACTCAAACCCAGGACACTATGCATACTAGGCAAGCCCTCTATCACTCAGGTACATACCCCAGCCCTTGAACTTGGCTTGGCTCATTGCAGTCATTAGTGTTTGACTTTCCTCTAATTGCTTATAACAGTTCTCCCAACTGGTTCACTAAGAAATGCTTGAAAGGACAGAACTTGTCTGGGTATATTTGTTCAGCTTGACCTTCACAAATAGATTTTTGTCACCACAGAGCAATATTTCCTCTGCTATGGTAAAGCTACCTGGTGTGTCATTTGCTCCCGAGTCTAATTTACCTAGTTTTTGTCATGTCTTCAAGCCACCAGGTCATTTTATTCCTTAAAGATTTGGTGCTGTCTTCTGTAGTTAAAAGCACTCGTGTTTCCTCTGTTCAAACAGTTGCTTTCTAGTCTGTCTGTTGGTGGCTTTCCTGCCACTCCAGTTCCCAACCAACCTTGTAACTGCCAACACATCAGAACAAAATGCAGGTCAGCTTTCACTCTCCCCAACTATAGCAGCATGTTCCTGTTGAGGGCTGGGAGATACTGTGTAATTCTGAAGATTTCCCAACTTTCAGTGCTGTGCATTTTTCAAGTAATAGGCATGAAGTCAGTCTTCTATTTCAGTTGTATAACCCTGCACATACATTTATCAGGCTTCTGATCACTCCTACTTAGGTGGCCAAATAGATTACAAATAGGGACGTTAGACCATGCTTCAATATACTTTTGCAGTGAATGGAAATGCTGGTAATTGTGAAGAGATGCTGATAAATATGATGAGATACATGGCCAAAAGCACAAGGCCATTTGAATAGCCCTCCTCTGCTTTTACTGGAATGTTATTCACGACTGGTTTACAGTGATCACCAAATGAAATTTTGTTTGCCCCCCTGATGGTTAGTTACCATTGGTGTCTTTACTCAAGTCATGAATTGCCAAAGGCCAGAGCTCATTGACATTGTGTGTGCCATTTCTCTGGCTAAGTCTATATTCAGCACCGAATGGTAAATTAAAGATTCCCCAAAGACAAGCATAGTTGGCTCCATTATATTACTATGATGAATCTGCCATTAATATGCTTCTAATTGTTTTACTTTTATAGACATAAAATCAGTCCCCTTAGTGACTAATAATAGGGTTTATTGATTTTACTAAACATTATTCATTCCAGGCCTGCTCATATCAGCTTGTCCTGAACATATGCAAAAAGCCTGCAGTGCTGGCAGAGTGCAAATTAACTTCATGGAGAAATGCGAATGAAGAGCTGTTTACAGCTGCGGTCCCATTGAATGTTGAATATTAAAAACAAGGCAATAGGCTCTATATAGAACCATTTATTTCTAGGTTAGATTCTCAGATGGCTTTTTCATGGAAGCTTGCCATTGATGTTCAGCCCAGGTCATTAACACATGCAGAGTGAAAAGGCTGGCCTTTTCCATTCACACTGGCTCTGACCCTGACTTAACGTGGTTGCAGCCCAAGGCTCCCTGAATGACCTGAATGAATAGAGCTGATTGAGACAGGATGAAACAGCCGTTTAATGATAATTACTGGTCAGCCCAGTCTCTCTCTGACTCTGAAAAAGAAACAAGACAGGCAAAGCCATTTATGATTGTTTGTGTCACTAACCACAGTCATTTTATTCCCCCTTCCTGCAGCCATCTGAGTCATAAATGCTGTTTTCTTTCAGTTAACTTGGGGGAGAGAAAATGAAGTGAAGACCCAAAAGCTAACCATTAGCCAGGCCTCCACCATGGATCCTCTTTTAGTTCTGTAAACAAATCATATGCAAAATCGGGGAATGGTTCTTAGCCTCAGCATTGCTGACATTTTGGACCAGGTAGTGCTTTGTTTGGGAAATGTCCCTGGGTGCTCTGGGATGTTCCACACTACCCAGGATGGGATGCAAACAACCTCCCCATCAAGCTATCATCACCAACTGGCACAGGGAGTCTAAAATTCCTGCCCAGTCCCAGCTGCACAGTAGATTCCCAACTTCTTTGTCCTTTGTTACTTTAGAAACTAAGAAAACTGGGTGGGGGAGATGGCTCAGTGAGTAATGTGTTTGGCTCACAACTGTGAGGGCTCGAGTTTCCAGCCCCAGAGTCCACAAAAAAAACAGGCACTTGGTGGCACTTACTTGTAATCGTAAAATTCTTAACTGCAAAGTCAGAAACAGACAGGAGAACCTACAGAAGTTCACAGTCCAGCTGGCCTCATATACACAGCTGCTTCAGATAAGAAAGAAACCTCTCTAGGTCCAGGCATGGACCAATACCTGAGGTGGTTCTCTCAACTCTTCACGTGCACTGAGACACATGCACACCCACACTCAGACACAAGTACGCAGGAGAACGTACGTGTGCACAGAAATAAAACTTTCAATGGCTCCAGGTAAAACCATAGAAACATAATGCTGTTGGTTCACTAGTGGACGAAATTGGGTCAAATCTACCACTTGTCTTGCTCTTTTGAGAGAAGTTTGCTCTGTACCCCAGATTGTGCAGGTTTGGTACAGATTGTGTTTAAGCATATTACATTTTATTTGTTTATTATGTGCACACACATATCCCTACAGTAGGAGTGTGGAGATTATTTATTTAATGTTTGCAGATACACACACACACACACACAGAGAGAGAGAGAGAGAGAGAGAGAGAGAGAGAGAGAGAGAGCAATATATGTGTACAGATCAGAGGATAACTTGCATGGGAGCTAGCTTTCTCCTTCACCATGTGGGTCCCAGGGATTGAACTCAGGTCATCAGGCTTGGTGGCAAGTAACTTTACTCACGGAGCCATCTGGAAGACCCTGGTCTAAATTTTTGTACAACCATTAGTACTGTTTTTACAGGTAGAAAATCAATGTGATTTTAAAAACATGCCCGAGGCTGAATTCAGTTTGCAGCCTATCAATCTATATTGTCTCCTAGTATGAAGGTTGGTAAATTGGGA